TGTTCAAGAAAAACATGATTATATTTGGTGGTAGTAGTACGATTATGTTTCGTGATATGATTATATTTAGTGATATGGTATATTGTTCATCTTATTTTTATATATATATATATATATAATTGTTGTATTAATAATTGACACAAATTACTGTGCTAATCATCCAATTATAAACTAGGAATGAGTAAAGAAAAGTAAATGAAATGAAACAGATTATATATGCGATTTAAGTGATATAATCCTAATCCTAAACTCTTATTTATACATAATTATATATGTATGCGGGCCTAACGGGCCAGGCTTTTGTGGGTGGGCCGGGCCGGGCTTTCTTGGGCTTAATCAGGCCGGGCCTATGAGCCGGGCCGGGCTTCAGACACCCAAGCCCAAGCCTAGCTCGGCCCAAGGCGGGCTGGGCCATCTCAAAGCCCATAACGGGCCAGGCCGGGCTTTTTTCCAATGGGCCGGGCGGGCCCCCATCGGCCCATGAGCCCGCGGGCCAAATGATGAGGCCTACCCAGAACTATCTCTTAGTACACCTCCAACAACAATGCATCCATCCTCACCTTTTTTGCACTCGTTGGTATTGATTTTAATCACTCTATTCAGGTATTGCCAAGAGAGCACAGCGAGAGAGCGGGTAGGTTTTCCAATCTTTCATACTTGCGTTGCGTGCTGATTGATCATATTTTTAGTTGATTTTTATTGTTGTTGCTTGCATTTATTATAAAAAACAACTCTCTGAAAATCTAAAAAGACAACGAAAAAAAGAAAGAAAAGAAAGAAGGTATTAGTCAAAGTCTATCCTTGGATAAATATTTTCTAAAAAAAATCTAATGATTAGTTGATTATAAATAATAACAAAACACCAATTATTAGTTGACAGAAATATGTAATTTAGACCAACCCTGCTTTTTTGTTGTTGTTGAAATGAGGGGATAAAACCCCAACAAAACAAACTACTCATAATGGTTTAACCCGACCTTGGTTTTTGGAACAACTCTTAATACTTGTTTTTTTGTTTTTTTTTGTTTTTTTGTTTTTGTTTGTTTTTTGAAATAAAGTTTAGGGGGAAATTAGCTACTCTCATCAAATCTACAACCTCGAGCTGGAAGGCCTTATGCGTGGCACCAAACTGCCAGTTGCCACCAATATGGATTTATGTAGGAAATCACAAATCGCGCACCAACAAGGACTTTTGGTAACGGGACTCAAACACTAATGAGGCTACATACAGTGCATAAACCTTACCAACTGAACTAACTCTCGTTGATTTAATATCTATTCTTTGTAATCATTATTATACTAATATTTTCTTCCTCACTTGACTTCAATCGTATTAAACAACCCTAATAGCCCCTTACAAAAGGTAAATTACTGAAACACCAAATAGTGGAACTGAGTCAAAGATCTTGAAACTATGTAAGCATCATCTGGACTCTCCAATCTATTATAAAATCTTTTCTTTTTCACCGTATTTTCTCCAGAAGGATGAGTGCAAACTAAAACTTCCCTCTCGAAAATCACTTTTCTAAAACCCTTTTCAACAACCATAATTTTCCCGAATACAGTCCAATAACATCAATGACAAAAACTCGCAACTAACTGGCATGACTCTCCTAAAGAGACTAAGAACACACAAGAAACTCAACCAAGTTTCTGGAATCATGAGAAAAAAAACACAAAAACTGATGAAGTTACTTGACTTTATTTAACAAACTAAATCAATATAAAAAAGCTAATACAATGCCAACAAAAGGAAAACCAATGATTGCTAATCTTCCTTTGAGACATGACATAGAGAGTGCCACCTAATTACTCTAAGATCTCAATGCATTAATGAGCAGTGGATCTACCATGACCAAGCTACAACACCTCAAAGAGTACTCTTGCAAGATGAGGAACAACCAAAGCTACCCAGATTTGAGACAATAGATCTGCCAAAAGAAAAGTAGATCGACATACACCCACCAAAAGTCAAATAACACCAAAGATCCAACAAGATACAGAGGAAAACCCCCCGGATCAAATATCTCTTGACTATTTTGTTTTTACTTGGAGCCAATTTTAAGACTGTAAAAAGTGGGTTTATCTTCAAAGTGGTTGAGTCTTTAACTTGAATCCAACCTTTTAAACTCAAAAACAGAATTTGAGTCCAAAACAAAGAAAACCTATTTGCTACCCTATTTTTAAAAACTCAAACTCAAGAACAACTAAAAAACACCCCAATTATTAAGAACAAAAAATATATGTTTTTTAAGTTTTGTTCTAACAACCCACAAGTTCTCAAATTTTTAAGATTTGAAATAGTTTTCAAGTTGCATACCAAACACGTTTTTTAATCATAAAAATAGATTTAAGAACTCCTTGTTTTTATGAAAAATCAAGGTTTTTGAGTTCCCTATTTAAATAGGATACGAAATGCCCATAAATTTTTTTCTTTGCATATTCATCGGTTCCTTTAGTATGCTTAACTGTTATTGCATGTTAGTAACTTGAATCTAAGACATATTTAAAAGAAAGAAAAAAAAAACGTATATGGGTGTTCAGGTTATACCTTTGTTGTCTAAATTAGGTAGGTTTCTTGAAATGCGTTTGCTTCGTGATTTAGTGTTGTTGCTTCGTGGTGATTTTATGTTGTTGATGTAGATTCGGATGAATAGTGGTTAGTGGAAGTTTGTGGAGGTTTGCAGTGGTTATGGTGGCTTGTTTTGGCCATTTGATTTCTCAGAGCTCGATATGGGAAGGCAATGCATCATGGGCGATGCCTTGGGTGTGGTTGTGTGTATGTTGTCTTTGTGTGTGTGTTTAATTTTTTTGTTTTTGCAGCGTTTTTTTCTTAAAAAGTGGAATGATATAATTTTGGGAATTTTTAAGGCAAAAATTTATTTTTGGTTCCTGTATTTTATCACTTTTATCACTTTGGTCCATGTTATTTCAATTTGATCAATTTTACCCTTGTGGTTTCAATTTGAAGCAATTCAAGTACAATTCTCAATTTCTGTAAAAAAAAAAAAAAAACAAAAAATTTTGTTAGTTGTAGAGGGGCAATTCGGTCCACAAATTACTAAAAAAATGCATTCCTTCTAAAAAAAACTAATTGATATATAAATTAAATAAAAATAATTTTAAAATAAAAATAAAACCTCTCTATAAAACCTCTCTACCCATTCTCCTCACAACTCCAACCCAACGCCCAGCCTCAGGATGACTTCATCCTCCACCCAGAGATGGACCTATGAAGGGACTTACCTTGGACTATATTCCAGGTGAGTTTTTATTTTGCTAATAAAATCTTCCAATACTCCTTACTCAGAAAAAAGATAAGCCAAAACAATCAATCAGCAAAGAATAAGAACAGAATTTGAATTCTCTTTTACTATTCCAGAATAGTCTTGTATAGGAACCATCATCTACATAAGACATATATAACATATATACTAATCCTGGCCGAATCACTTGAACTAACAAAAACCTAAAAACCAGCCACTTTGCAACACCAATTAAAACCTATTCTATTTTCAAGCCCACTTCTGTGTCATTTAACCAAGTAAATCTTTAACCCTAACAGTGAATTTTTTTTTTTATTGTTTTTTTTTTCCGCGTAAAAATCTTGGTGATTTATTATTATTTTGTGGGTTGTTGATTAATGATTGCTTGGTGATTTATTATTATTTTGTGGGTTGTTGATTAATGATTGCTTTATTATCTCAGATTAAGAACAATAATGTTTGTTTGTTTTATTTATTATATGAATTCTGAAACAGTTGCATACGTGTACGTAGAACCCAATTTTAAAATTCTAGGTCCGTTTCTGATCCAGTTGAACTCAAGTTTGAATCTCCTGCACCTTAAAATATCGCCTCAGAAAACCATTTGAACCCAAAAGAACATTGTTTTGGACATAAGCATTATACAAGCATCAAAACACAAGTAGAGCATCCTATTCCTATAGCAAAAACAAATGTTGACGGTCACTACTACATTTTACAGTTTGCGCGACGAAAACAATTCCGTCGCGCAAAGATGAATGTAGTCGCAAAAACTTAAGCGCGACGGAAAAGTCGTTGCGCAGCATCCGTCGCGCGAAGTTCGTGAAGAAAGACATTGCGCGACCAAAAACTTCCATTTGTCGCGCAAAATTGCGCGACGATTAGCATTCGTTGCTCAAAATGTGTAGGGACGGCAGTATGTTGCGTCGCGCAAACATTTGTGCGACGAAAATATATTCGTTACGCAAAATTTGCACGACGGGACATTTTTGTCGTGCAATTTTCGTCGCGCAAAAGTTAGAGCAACGAAAAAGTTTTCGTTACGCAATCTTTGAGCGACGGAAAATATTCGTCGCGCAAACATATGCGCGACAGAAAAAATTTACGTCGTGCAAAAATAAATATTTTTTTATTTAAATTTAATTTTCCGTTTCTTTGATTTTGTTAATTTAAATTTAAATTTTGGTTTATTTTTTTTTTCAATAAAAGAAAATTGCATTAAACAAATGTAATGAAGAGAAAAGAAATGTTATAAAATAATATAAATGTAATTACAAGAAAAATGGTTAAAATGTAATAACAAATAAAAAACTAATCGAATAAAGTTCCAAAATCAACGTGGTCGTCTGCGAGATGCAGCTCGGACGTCTGGGCATTGTCGGCAAGGGTAGATGTCTGGTAGCCAGGTTGGGGGGGCTGGGAGGTCGAGGAGGAACCAAACTGCGGGATTGGAATGCCTGACCGAGCAAGGGACTCTAGAATCATAGACATCTGACCCTTAAGCTCGGCGATCGTCCCTGTCAAAGCAGTCCCCTCGTTTGACTGCGACGATGAACGGGGTATAGGTTCCCGCCGTCGGGCATTCCCCACCCCTCGACAATATGTCCCGGGCCTCCTCCCGAGAGTCTAATCCAACGTCTCCGTCAAGATTTGAAACCTCGCATCCTGTGGAGGATGCACAGACTCGAGCGGAGTATCGGGAGGAAGTTGGGAGGCAGACTCCTGAAGAACCAACTGGCTCCTCTCCACCATCGTCGTCTGTTTAATTAAAATTACAGAATTAAAACATAAAATATTAAAATTAATTAAAACATTCATATATTAACCATGACACTTGAATGCGTATATAATAATTAAAATTAAAGAATACTTACATGAATGGAGTCGGCCAACTCATTCCCAGGTCGAACATAAACGTCGCCAAAGACGTCGATCT